GCTATGCAGCAAACTCGGTTTTTGGGCACCCACAAGTGGCACAATCCTTAATGCTGTTTTTCTAGGATAGTCCCTTTATGGTTTGCAAGCAAAATAATGCCTGACTGGTTCCTTGCACACTTACAGTCAGCAGTCATTAGTGCAGCCTTGGAAAGGAGAGGAAAAAGAGTGTTTTAATGCTAACATTTCCTTAAAATGTGGCACAAATCCAGCACCAACAAACAATGTGGGGTGGAACTGTGATAGTATCACATGCCTCAAATGTCTTAGTTATGTGACAGCTTAACTAAAGCCAGGAAGTTTTCCTTAGAATCGACTTTGTTTACCTTGGAAAAGAAAAACCAAAAAACTTGATGCATCAAAAAGTCCAGCTGGAAGATTTTCCTTATTGCTGATCACTTTTAATTAGCTGATGTGTTTCCCCCTGGAGTGGGTTGAGCACAGCACACAGACTGCACACGTTGTTCCTTGGCTGCAGTGATGCACATGGCAAATTCTCTAATATATAATTTATCCTGCACATGCTTGAGACTTGATGATGTTTGGGCAGTTCACATGGAGCCCGTGTAGCATGGCTGCTTCTGCACTGCTCTCCAGGCTCAGGGTGACAGTGTCCAACAGACAGCTGGTACAGGATTATTTTCGGCTGTGCTCAGACACCAGAGATGCCCTTTGGGTGTTCAGTACATTCAGTTTCCTTCCATCCACTCAATTTGTTTTTCTGTTTGGTAGAGGGATCTATCTGAAGTGACACCTCGCTCTGGGAAAACATGGTATTGGGAGCTAATTGATTGCATTATAATTCTGAGCAGAGAAACTTTTTATTTTTGTGGGGGAAAGAGCTGTTATTTTATCCCTGTCTCAGGTGGAAAGGTCACAAGCAGCAGCTGTAATACTGTTGCATTCCAGAATGAAATGCTGCTTGATAATATTTTTATAAGCCTGCGCTGATTCCAGCATTAGCCTTTTGGAGAAAGATAGATGGGGAAAACACAAATATCCCTGGTCAGACACAAATCCAGCGCTCACAAATCCTGGGTTGGGGCAATGGAAGGAGATGGGGGTACAAGAGGTGAGGATGAAGGTCAAGGAAGCAGCCACTTTTCAGGGCTTTGCTGCGTCCAACTTAACCCCCACCTAGAAACCAGGCTGGGGGACAGCATGAATCAGCAGTGAATTCCTGGCACTGGGCTCAGCCAGGTTCAGGGTGGCTCACAGGGGACCCTAGGCACTCCTGCTGGACCCTGTTTTGGGGAACACTGCATCTGAGTTGGCTGACATTGGCTCAGCCAGCTCCATTATGGCTCCAGGCATCTGAAAACATTCTCTGTGCTGTCCTGGACAGCCCAGCTGCTGCCTGCCCAGCACTCAGCTAGTTTTGCACCTCCTCAGTAAATAAATTGTGATCTGTAGCATATGACCACAGTGCAGCTGCTTGTGCAGCAATATTGTCAGACCAGTAACACACAGCCCTCTGACACAGCCTGTGATACTGAAACCCCTCCCAGATACCAAGGCACCAAAACCACCAGTTTGCACCAGTTTTCTGCTGAAATCCTGCAAGAGTAGATATATGCTAGCTCAAAGGAGTACCAAACCAAACTCTCAGTGGGTCAGCAGCTAAGTGGAATAGAGGCCTGAGCCCAAAACATGCAATGTTTTAAACCAGACACTGCAGGAAAACAGAACGAAGTGGTGAAACAACACTTTTACCCCAGACCAGCACTGCCATGCTTGGTAAAACCTGCAAGAAAAGGGGATTAAAAACTACAAGACAGTAAAAAATTCCAGTGATGAGTGAGTGTTTACCAAAGGCTACATGCCAAATGGGTACATGAGGTGTCCCTTGCTCATCTGGGATGAGACAAATTAATTGACACCTGAACAGAAATGAAAGCAAATGAAATCCCTTAGAAAGGGATAAGCATTCCTAATTTTTTTTTTTAATATATATAACACTTTAGGTTTTTCTGTCACAGCAAAATAATCTCTCTTGTTTGTCTGGGGCTATTTTTAACACTGCTAATGAGTGACTAAAGTGGGGTGGAGTAGCTAAGCCAGCTTGCTGCTCCCAGCCACCCACAAGGTTTTTCTGACAATCAGAGGAGGACCTGGACCAGAGCCAGCTCATGTGAGGAGTCAGAGCAAAGTGCCTGCAAAGTGTCTTCGTCCTGGGACACACATGGTGGAAAAAAAATGCACCATGGTGGAAAAAATGCAGCTGAGTAAAAAAAGGCCTAGACTCCACACAGGGCAGGTATGTCCAGTGCTTGACATCAATCTCTGAGACTAATGCATCTCAGAGATGCATTAATCTCTGACCAGAGCTCATAAAGCATGTAGTTGGCATCTCATTTGTCCATCAGAAAAAGACAGGAGAAAAGCCATCTGTGCAAACAAGTTATTCCTGGACTAGAGGACATCCAATTAAAGGCAAGTAGTGATTTCTCACAGGGTCAGTAAATTAATAGAAAATCATAAAATCATTATGGTTGGAAAGACCTCCCAGATCATCAAATCCAACCAATAACCCAGCATCCCTGTGTTCACCATTAAACCACAGCCCCGAGAGCCCCATCCACACAGCTCTTGACCACTTACAGGGATGTAACACCTGGCCCCTGTCTGTCCTTCGGAATGGTCTTGGCAGAGGTCCATTGGCATTCAGGGGATTAGAAGCTCTTGAAAGGGGAACATCCAGCATCCCTTCTCCCATCACCTCCAGGACTGCTGCATTCAGAGGAGGGACCGAAAATAACTGGAAAGTACCAGATGGCAGCTGGTGGATGCAGCATCCCAGTTGCCAAGTCCTTGCCAGCAAGGAGAGTACACACTGAATGGGAGTGAAGACAGTCACTGGAGCACGACAGCAGCAGGGCAGCACAGGAACACAGCAACATCCTGGGCCTGAATGCAAAAAACACTCCACTCCAGATAAACAATATTCTAGAGAAGCCTATATGTGTATCTATATTGTTTTAATCTATACATGTTTAAAGAAAAGCCTACCTGATGTAGAAAACTGCTGTGAAATGTTCAAAACTCTCTTATGCTAAATCATTAAAGGCAAATTGCAGTGATGGGTTAATTATGTTTATTGCAGAAGAGCAGTGAGATGCCATAAACCCAGGCACACTCTGGTGCATGGTGCTGTGGTGGTATAAGTCAAAATGCCAGAGTAGCAGAGCCTCTGTGCCACAGCCCTCTATTCCATCCTCATTCCTCTAAAAGCCAGGGAAGAGAGCAAGCACCTGTGTGCCTGGTGTGGAGCCTGCACTGGCAAGGGGTCCAGACACCTTTGGGTTACTTGGACACTTGTTCCCTTTCCCCAGGTGTGCCAGGCAGCTGGACAATGGGACACAAACCTTGCAGCAATGGCTCACAGCATGACCTGTCAAGGCAGAGCCACTGATGCCTCATGTTCTTGCAATAAGGGACACCCATTTAAAAACAAATGCTTTTTTCCTCCCACACCGTCCAACCTCACTTGTCTGATTCACCAGAACCAAGGGCTTTATAAGCCATCTTGAATATTCCCAGCCTCCCAAGGGAAGCACTACATTTAAGAGCATTTTAATAGACTGTCCTTTCAGAGAAATTATATAAGCATTTTCCTTTGGAAGGGATGGAAGAGGGAGGGAAAAAAAAATCAATATTTTTAAGTAACAGCATTATAATTCACTAGAATTATAGCACATGCCAGTAAGACAGATGTACACAATACAGGCTGGAAATCTGTGCTTTGGCTCGTAGAGGAAGTCAAATTATATTACCATGTAGCCTTAAAAATCAGGTAATTAAGTGACTTGGGGTAACAAAACAAAACTACTTGGATAAGTATTTGTAAACTTAAAAGAGAAGAAAGGGATTTTTTTTTGTAGAAATATTAAAAAGAAGTGGGGTTTTTTTTTCAGTGCTTATCTATAGCGAGACAGGATATTTTTGTGTCTTTTATTAGTTTGGTTGAAACAATTCCCCTTGTGATCTCAGATTGATGTAACTGCTAGAGCAAACTTGTAAAATTAAAAAAAGAATTCCTTTAAAAAAATCTCAGTTTGTAAATAAATCCCATAAATACCTGATGTGGCTAAACTTGTATTATTTATAAAATTACACAAGTGTTATAACTGGAGCTGTGGCAGCAGAGATATCTGATGTAACAGTCATAAACATTTATACCAGCTCAGAATTTGTTCTATAAAAATCACAAGCTCTGCCATCTCAAAGGTCAAATTGCCTTCAGCAACTACATAGAGCTGTCAGAAAAAGCTAATCATGCTCTATTATATTAATGTATAACCAATGGACAAGGAAAAGATAAACCCACAGAGCTTATTTACAAAAAGAATCTCTTACACCTCCAGAGAGGCTGGGAAAATATAACACTCCTACCTGCAGACTTTTGCTGAATGGTGTTTTAATTGCACCTAATGAGAATCAAGATTTCCTCTCAAAGCTACTATGAATTCATTGCTTTCCAGAAGATGATGATACATTAGTGAGAGGACAAAATAGAGCCTTCAGGCATAAGTATATTACAGACCTTCTAAAAAGTATTCCTAGGAATTGCAAGTATGGTGATAAATTGCAGCACTTTCAAAACACAAATAATGTGCTTTGCTGGCCTGTGGTTGAAGTCTCTTGCCAGTGGCCTAAGACTGTTTTAAACAATATGGAGATATCAAATCAAGCTAAGAAGTTGCAGCATTGAATTTATGCTAACTGCATCCCTGCACCTATGGGTTATCAGCTGCATTGATAAGAATTGTACTTCTTATCAGGAGATGGTAAATTAATAAACACAGAAAGATTAAAAATGTAGGACTCCTTTCAAGAGGGCTACATGAAAAGCCTTAAATAGACAATCTGTGGCCACAACAAACATACTGCCCAGGTTAATACCACAAACATTAGAAATTATTTACTGTATAGAAAAGGATTGTTTTGTCATTCCCCAAACAGTATTTTTCCAGCTGAGAGAAAAAACACAGGATAGCTGCAGTTCCTTACTTCTTGATTCACAGTTGCAAATAATAAAAGTTCACAGAAATAACTCTCCCTTTCTGAAAAAAGTAGAAACATTCAGTTGCTAGAAGTACACATCTCGTCTTCTGTCCTGAATCTGAATACCTGAAAGACACAGCAGCATCAGGACAGTCAAGCAGCACAGTCCTTGCAATCTCTTAAGATGTTGTGCAAACAAAATTGCACCTTTGGGTTTGGCGCAAAAGAACCCTTACAAGAATAACAGAATGACCTGTTCAAAGTATCCCCAAAACATCGCACATCAAAGAATCAACAATGGGGCATGACCAGCACCAAGACACTAATAAAACTAAGGAAGCCTGAATGCTTTGGGAATAATTTCTTAGAACAACTCACCCAGCAGTATGGTGGGTTTGTTGGTGCAAACTGCAGCAGTGCTACCACATGTGAGTTGTTCTATCTTTCTGGCAGCCTGAAGGTTGCCAAAAAAATAATAAGCAAAAAAACTAAGGTGGATGGGGTAAAAAATCCCCATGTATCTCATTTTAATATAATGTAGTGGTTTTTTTCCTCTTTGTTAATGTAGTTATGGGAGGTGGTGGTTCTATCTGGGGGAAAAATGAGCTTTTGAAATACAAAAGCAAAGGAATATCTTTAATACTACATGCATAAGCAAGACTGCTGTCTGATTTGTTCTGAACCTGCTGGTTTCTTTACTCACCTGCAGTGGCATGGCTTACACTGGGATTTTCTGAGCCTTGGTAAGAGCTTGCTTTCCTCTCTTAAAAAAAAAAAAATACTGGGGATGAGCAGAGATTCAGCACAGAGCTAAAAGTAGACAGTAGTTACTAAAGAAACCTTGTGCTTTTGCAGCCCAGCCTATAGCACAGGTGCTGAGGAGCTCTGGGCTGTCTGGCACAGCAACATACACTTCCATAAATGTAAATATCAGCTGTTCTTAAACATGACAGAGAACAAGAAGTGTATTTAACACATAGAGCCAGCAAACAAGTACTCCTACAGTTGAACTAAATGTACACATCCTAGGGATTTGCCAAAGACTCCCTATGAACATGGATCAGCCATTTCTTATTTATCTATGTTGTGTTGTTTGATAATCACAAGGATGGTGTTACATGTGTGGTGCTTAGAGACTCTTGAATATTCAGAATGGCCTTGTACACATCCTGAAAGAAACAGCTTTAATTGGTAATGGCTGGAGAACACTGAACTGTTTAATTTCCTTTTCCATTTTTTCCTCACTCATTTTCTTTCTGAATTTTTGGGAAAAAAAGTCCACTGTTGTTAGCAGTGCTTCCCTCTTATCAACACAAGATTAATTTAATGAAATAGCTCTTTTTCTGAAGGAGTCAGCTCCTGGGGCTCCCAAGCCTTGATAGGCTCGCAATGCCCCCTTGGGGGAAGAGGGCACCTTACCTTGTTCTTAAATGAGATCCCAGTTCAGACAAGTGTCTTTAAAGAAATTAAACTCTCATTCACTACCTACATTCATTAGGGTGAGTGCCTATGCAACACATACAGAAAACCTCTGCTCATATACCCTGAGCAGAAAGTTTGCATTCCAACTGAAGATACAGACACTCTCCCTTTAACATGAACAGACAGGCATTAGACATTCTAGCAGTAATGAGTTAGCAAAACATGTACAGTCACAAAACACTCATAACAATATAGATCTGTTGTATCCTCAAAAGAAGAACTGTAGATAAACTCCTGCTTGTATCTGCAGGCAGTCTTTAGCCCACATTCTGCCAAATTCCTGCAGATGCAGTTTCGAAACTTGGTAACCAGAAGGTATTTCACAGCTGCTTATTTTTCAAAACCTAAGCCTCAGGATTGCTTCTTCACATGGCAAATGTTTTTTGTTCAGAAGCACCGGGAAGGACGCACTGTATTTTTCCAGCAGACTCCCTAAACAATTTCACAACCCTTTTGCTTGCAGACAAGTGTCAAGCTGCCTTACTGGGGAATGCCCAGGAACAGCAATGCAGACGTACCCCAACAGGCATCAACGCTTTGGCCAGGAAGCCTGACCCCAGAGACCTTCTCAAAGGCAGAATTACTTACAAGAGAACAATTTTATCCAGCAGACCTAGATGCTGTGGGGACATAAATGAACTTCAGGCATCTTTCTGCTGTGCACTGGTAGTACCTAGGATTGGGATTCCTAGTAATTGTGGATAAAAAGCAACAATCATCACTGTGTGAATGGCATTAGCTCTGGGAAATCTGCAGGGAGCAGACATAGCCTTTGGCAGGCAGGGCAGCAGCACCTCATGGCAGGGAGCTCTTAGCCAGGAGACAAGGCAAAGCTGGTCCACCAGCCCCTGTACCCTTCACCATTCCAGCTACAGACAGAGACTGAGAGGGAGAAAAACCCCTGGCCATGCTGGTAAGAGCTGCGGTTTCCCACCCTGTACTCAGAACATAATTAACAGCCTGCACAGTAAGAGAGGCTGCTCAGGGATCCTTCCTGGCCACCATGAGGGAGTATCTGGTATACACCACACCTAATACCTATAAGTATTAGAGATTAAGATAGAGCTATGAATAATGCTTATAGTCACTTAAAATGTCTCCCCAACGTAAGCTAGAAGATGAAATATTGTGTGAGTAGGCACAATTTTTTGCACATTTTTTGATTAACCCATACTATATGGCTAATTGATTCCAAGTACCACAGTATACACCAGGGTTATTTACTGTAAAATATTTCTGTGAGTTTGCCAGAAGTTGGATCCGGCTTGAAAAGCTTAGGAACAGACGGCATTATTCTGTCACTTTACATCAGATGTCATCAAAGAATAAAGTGATAGTATTTTCTTACCTCCCCCAGGAGCTGAACTTTGACTCATATTTTGTAACCTTGCAGGTCCAGTCATACAAGCAGAACTTGAGTGTTGCTTCATGGTGCATTCTTGCATAGATGTTAAGCATCTTTCCTGTTGCAGAAGGCCAAGAAGAGAACTGTATTTCCTGTCAGAGATCAGCTCATCGGCTGCATGCAGGTCAGGGAGGGTGTGAGGATACACCGGACCGGTGACACTGGGAGTCCCAGTTGGAGGGAAGGGCCATAAATCTGCAGGTTGAGCTGGACGACTCCGCAGAGATGATGGCTGGCACTGGCCTACCACACCAGCAGCAGAAAAATTCAGAGCAGAATTTGCCATGCTTGTTGAAGAAGACGATGGATACGGTTTGTAGCAATGCGAAGAGAAATTCCACTGATGGGGAGACATGCTGTCTACTTAAAAAGGAAAAAAAGCATCTGAAGTCTCATCAATTCTTACTTTTTCTTACTTTTTTCCTAAGGCAAATTCCAGTGGACTTCTAAGAGAATGCTACCAGATTGCATATTTATTTTTACAGAAATTCAAAATCACTTTAGTGCTGCTTATCTTAAAAATCAACCACAAACTCATAATAAAAGCAGATTAAACCACCACCATCAATCTTTCTACTAAGTATTTCTACTGTAGTATGTGTATTACACAACCACCAACTTATGCAGGTTTTTGACAGCTGCAGGCTTAGACAAATAAATTTTTGTGAAGATGACAACTTAAGTCATAATGCACTTATTGCATCCAGCAGTGACTGGGACACTTGGCTGGAAAATGACGATCTAGTCCTGCCAACAGGCCCATGAAAAGCTTAGGATTCACTCCAGCAATCACAGGGATTTACACAGGAATTCCCAGCCTAGGGCTTTACAAGTATGATTCTCTTTCTTTCTGTTTGCACACAATTTCAAATTTAAGATCAAGTGATCTTTAATTCCTTAGTAAAAGCCAGTCATCCCCATCCAACACCAGGCTCACATATGGAAAGGAGCTCACTGTTTTTCAGGACAACAGTCTCACCCTTGTGCTTTGTGCTCAGGTCTTGGGGGTTCTTGGCATTGCTGAGAGCTCTAGAAAAATGTTCATCTACCATGCTGTTAATGTCCCCTTGGAAATAGGTGAACACCACGCTCTGAGATCCCCATTCTGTTTTCACAGGCTCTTTGCTTTTACTCAGCTTTGGGGAAAGCTTCCTTGTTTCTTCCATTTTCAATGACCAACAGTCTCTGCAAAAAAAACCAAACCAAAACCCAAAAAACACAAACCAAAAAACCCAGACAGGTCAAAGAGACAATATTCAACTTCAAGTGCCTAGAGGATGGTGAGCCCAGCTTCCTCCCAAAAATGGTAGGGGCCAGAAGAACACTTGGTAGGAATGGATTCTCTGTTTTTCTGCTTTTTCCATGCACCTCTTCTTTACTGATTTCCCTATTAGATACTTCTAAAATGAAATACTTGGGTAGAATGGGCATATCTACTCACCAGCTTTCATTTCTCACCCTGACTTTTTAAGTCTGGGCTTAGGATGTATACTGTGCGAATGTGTCCTCTGGAAGAACTGAAACACTTAAAAATAATTCAGAAGTGGCACTATCCCTGAATGAAGTTCAGGGTAAAGTTATCAAAATGCTTTGTCCAATTTAGGTTTTTGTGTTCAAAAAACAATGACAGAGTGCAAAAAAACCCCAAAACAAGAGCAACAAAACCCCCAAATCCCACTACACTACATTAGAGCTGAAAATAATAATTTTTAGATAAGGTAAAGTCTGAAATACCTTAATGACTGTCAGCACAGATCTCCAAAACAAAAAGACTTCTAAGAGTAATTAGTTGCTTCACCTGTTGGAAAAAGACATTCAGAATAAATAATTGGAAATTCAAATCATGGCAAATTCAAGTAAAAACACACCACAAAACAACACCAAAAGAAATAACCTTTTCTTGTTTGAAACAACTTACCTAGGAACATGGTGGTTCTGCCAGCTGCTTAAAACTTTGGAGCAAGACTGCTAAAACACACACTGTGTGTTGACCAGAATTTACAGGTTTAAGGCAGGAACTCCACTAAAATAGTTTGCAGAAAGTTAACAGAAGACTATAAGTCTCCTTTTTGTTCTCTTTAAAAATCTCTGCTGCCAGGTATGGTAAGAGTAGGACAAGGAATGTCACTGCTTGCCTGGAGAAGCATCATTTTCATGCATTTGTACAGTTTCTGGCCACAAGGGAGCAACTTCCCAGCCAGAGCTCACAAGTCCTGCTCTAATCAAGATCATATTTAGCAAGACTCAGGCTACAAATACAGTGAAGTGCCTGCTGCTCCTGTTCAATTTTCCAGTCTCATTGTCAGCTCATGACACTGCATAGTATAATTGATTTACCTTGGGAGCAAAAGGAAGGCTGTTATTTTTTCAGAGATCAGGGCAACCTTTGGCCAATAGCCAGCTGTATCTCATAAAACCTCATGAATCATTAGATATGTGTTTCCATCCAACTGACTCTGCAACACACTCCACTGCTTAACCCAGTTCAACACATTTGTCTGATTTCTTTCCTAGTCATACATCCCGTAATCCTCAGAAGCTTCCCAATAAACAACACACTCATCTGTATCTCAAAGGATACCCTGAAGTGCCTGTGTAGTCTGCCTTCAAATGATTTCTCAGAATTTTCTTGCACATGAAAAAAACTGCTCAGGCTGCAAGACAAGTATTCAGAAAGTATTAGGAAACATGAAGATTAAGGTTGCCGAGCCATAATCTATCCCCATTCTAATGCTTATGCCTTCACCTAAAAACTTCTTGTCCATGTTTATTATTTCCTTCCATATTTAGTTTTGCTTGTTTACCTCCATCTCCCACCACTGTGCTCTGTTCAATTCTCCCTGACTCATGGTCACTTGCTCAGCCAGCCCTAATCTCCTGTCACCAACTGCTAACTCAGGAGCTCCTTAGTCCTGATTTTAGAATTTCGATTGCTTCGCCCCATCCTCCCAGATTCACCTAAACACAGCAGTGGAAGCAGGACTGCAAGGCCACACTCTGATTCAGAAGACAATCTTTCACAACTTTAAAACTGACCCAGCTTTCCCAGACATAGAAAACTTAAAGAAACATTTCCTCCCAATTTACAGGCACCTTTCCAAGGCACATGAGGGGAAGCAGGAACTAGCACAACCTAGCCACACAACTGGAAGGACTTTAAGCACAGGAAGAGACGCTGGTTTTTCCCAGTCTTGTTTTAGAAAGCATCCTGCAATTTGGGTTAAGGAACTTTACGATTGCTCAGCCAGGGGCCAACACTTGCCATTGAAAATTCCAGTCCAAGAAGTGAAATCTTGGCAAAGACATGAGCAACCAGATGACCTGAGAAAGGAGAAGTCATCTTGACAGCAAGAAGCAAAGCAGCTTTTCTTACTCTGAGCCAGCGCTACACATCAACATACAATTTAGAAAGCATTAGTGCTTGCCCAGAGTATCACTTTTCCCATTCTTCACTCAGTACAAGCCATTATGTCTTTGTACCACTTTATTAACATGCTTAACTAGCTCCTGACATTAATTCTGGGCTCCTTCAGCATCGTTTATTTGTGTGCAGCAGCTTGTGTGATTGTGACCAGTTTAAAATATATTATTTTTGCAGCATTTTAAGAAAAAAAGGTCTTTTATCTCTTTTTTTCTCCAGTGTTTCCCTTAAAAATCTCTTGCGCTTTCCAACAAGTAGGCAGAGGAAGGCTGGGAAGAACCTAGGTTAAATCTCAGTCCTCTCAGTGATCATATGGGCGTAAGGATTCCAGCATCCCAGGAGACAGGACCTGAATTTGCAGCACTATAGTCTTCTTTACCTGAACCTCCTATTATTCCATCACCCAGCACAAGGTCTGCAAAAGGCAGAAGTCCTTCCAGCTTGTGTCTGACACAAACCATTGTCAAAATAGAGTAGAAGTGGAGCTCAGGATGAAATGGACTCAGCTCATATTCTACTCTTAGAATGGGTTAATAATGGCAAAATAGCAAAAATATTTGTCCAAGTTATTTCTCCTTCAAGTGGACAAGGACACACAGTCAACACAGGCTTAAGAGTGGTGGCTTACCACAAGACCTAATACGTTAAAATATTTTTCACATTTCCCACACTTGCCAGCAGTATTAATTTACCAGCACTGGAGCATCTGACAAGGAACTCTTCATTCTTGATTTCATGTAGCTCAAACCAGTTTTAAAAACAAAAAAAAATCTCCCACTTCTCAAGCACTAAACCACAATTTAACAAACAGGCATTCCCTCTCATCAAGTTATTCCTCAAATAAGAGAACATTTGAGGAAGTCAGTGAATTTTCCTACCTTAACTCACTGTCAGTCAGATTTTCCAGATGTGGGACACTCATGTTGTGTCTAGCAGGCTGGGATCCTTCCTGGGCCCGGCCAGCTCTGTGTGCACTGCAGCGACTGCAGCAGAAGACAAGCCACGCTCATGAACTCCCCACACTTTCCAGCCTCCAGCTGCGTGGAACGAGGCGTTTCCTTCAGCCTATCTGCTAAGAATGCATGAAATGCACTCCAACGAGTCAACCAGGTTAGGAGGTTTCAGGAATGAGGAAAATAGGATTGTAAGTAGGTTTAGGTTTGTTTGGGTTTCTTTTTTTTTTTTTTTTTTATGACAACGTGTATACAATAAAGAAGATACTGTGGACTTTGGAAAAGTTTGGAGTAAGATGAAAAATAAGACATGGCAATGAACCAAACTTGCCCAGGATGATAAAGGACTTTTCCTATGTTACAGAATATTCACTCAAATTGGTAACAACAAACACCTATGAGAAAAAAACCTGTTTCCAATCCAGATAAACTGGACAATCAATTTTCTCACTTTTCTTTGCTGGATCTGTTTTAATAACTACAGGGAAGAAAAAAAAAAGAAATCATTCTTGTTCTGCAAGGGCTGTAGCAGGAAAGACTTTTTTTTTTTTTTTTTAATCAAGTGTACCAAAATCAGCAAATTGCAGCCATTCCAGAAATGGTGAAACAGGGTCAAACTTGCCAGTATCAGCTGGAAAAAACACACTGAGGAACCAGTCACCAAACTGGTGACATTATGTCTTTCACAGAGTGGCTTAGGAGTTTGTTTACTCACCCAGAAAGCTGGAGAGCACAATCCAATTCCCTCTGCCTAAATACGTATGAATCCGCCCTCTGCCCTTCCCAGAACAACTTAACTACCAGGCTGGGAGAGCTCCCGTGACGGTGCTTAGTCTTTTTTTGACACACTGTTTGTGTAAACACCTTTTCATTGTGAGACAGACTGGATTCCAGTCCAGCAGCAGGGCAAGTCTTCAACATCTCCACTGCTCTTTCTCTGACTCCCTTTTCTAAACTGTCTCATACAGCAGATTTCCTCTGCTAAAGCTTTTCAAGACCTTATTTGAGATCTTCCTCTCATGCTGACAGTTAAAGCTCTCCTCAGGTTAAGATGGCATCAGTTTAACTACAGGGTAAAATGGGATTTTAATCCCTATTCTTCAGTACAGAAATTGAATGACTGATTTCCAGTGCTTTTGAAGCAAAGTGTCAAAACTTTGAAGAAAAAAAATTTAAAAAACCTTTGAGAATAAAAATGAAAATTCTACTTGTCCTTATTAAAAACATCTTCACAATCTCAATTTTAACTACAGTGTCTGCAGTGATCCCTCCTGCTCCTTTTCTCTCCATGCAGGTCCATTAACACCCCAAGCCAGGAAGAAGGCTGAGACCAAATCCATAAATAGGGAACAAATACCATATTCCCACTTACAGTTCCAGCAACACGTCTGCTGGGTCCAGCTGGAAGCTCTGGCATGTTAACACGTGTTTTATAAACTGAAGCCCCAGTGTACCAAATGCTATTGTATCTTTTACTGAGGAAAAAGACAAATACGTTACCTTGAAACTAATCAGCAGAGACTTGTTCTATTCATGAGTTTGTTTATTAAAAAGGTAGTATAAAACACAACCCCTTTAAGAAACAAATCGAAGACAAACAAAGGGTATACTCAGATGCTGTCACAAGTCTAGACATTATTCAAATAGCATTTGCTTTGTTAATGTTGCTTTTCTAAAGGATAAATGAAAATTATTAATTTATTGAAAGAAAATCATCTATCAGAAGAAATTCCAAGTCTACTTACTGAAAAGTTTAATCTAATATAGTTTTCATACTTTTCATATTACAGAATGAGCAAAAAACCAGTTTTCTGCAAAAGATTTTATAATTCTGTAAATATTTTACAGAACTTTCAGAGTATTCTGACAGTAAGATGTCAAGCTATAATGAGCACTACAATATACACAAGTCAAATCAGCACAAATACACAACTCACAGAATTCATTTACCATACTGCAGTATGTTTTTCTCAAACGCAGAAATAAAAATAAGAATTTAAAATGCAACCAAAATCTATAGGAATGTATTTTTTAGGTTTTTTTTAGTCTAATTCGGTTTGATGTAGTTTCAAGAATTATGGGTATGAATATTGATGAAAGGCAAGTTTGGGTTTCTGTGAAGCATCCAACATCTTCAAGTCTTCTTAAGTGATTTAAGCTAATTATTTGTAACTGTTAATAGGTTAACCTTAACTGAATAACGTGTAGGACGTGTTTTAGCTAAAATGCACTGCATTTAATGTACTAAAGATTTTAAGTGAATTGCAACCCTTATACAAAACCTAAGCTGTACAAGGGACTGAAATTCAATTAAAAAAATTTAAAAAGCCAGCAGGAGAAACAGATAAACATTTTGATGCAAAATGAAACTAATTCTCTCTTTACATCAGTATACAAACATTTGAGAATCTGCAAAAAAAGAGAAAACCACCTAAAAAGCCTTTTATTTTGAGGCTTTTTGTCTCCAGGTGTCTACTTTGGCCATGCTCCTCCAGCACGTCATGTCTGGTGAATACCTGTAACTCCGTAAAAATTCATTTCCAGGAAACCACTGAACAGCATATGATTTTAAAGCCAACTACCAATTTATCCTGAAGCTAAGCAAATATTTTGGATGGTTCAGAGAGTGATTCTGCCAAATTATGCTGGAGGATCAGTTAATACTTTATTGTATTGTATTGAAGTGGCTTTACATCCATTTTATTACACTGAAAATTGGTATGAACATCTATTCCTCTAGTTCAAAACTGAGCAAAAATAATTATCCACAAAATGTTTCAGCCTGCTGCTAGTTACTGTTTTTATCATATACAGAGGAAAGGAGACAGATTCTCTTAAAATGAACCCTCACCAAAAGCACAGGCATGGAGGAACATGCAGTATACTTGAACATTGGAATGGGACCTAAAAAAAAAAACCTTAGAAACTGAGCAAAAACGTTGCTTTTTCACTTCTAATGAGCAAGGAAAGTAAATAGAAAACACTTTTAATTAAAGAAAAAATAAAGTGAGAATTCCTTTAGGTTTTTCATTTCTTACTAATTTATGTATGATGTTGACCACTAAGAAAAATACCTAAGTTTAAAAAGCAACTCTGCTTGTTCAGATTGGTTAAAATTTCTCATTAAACATTACTGCTCTATACTATAAGAATTTCATAATCATACTTCAAAATAGACATTTTAACTTCTGAGAAAATTCTTGATTTTTGTTCAGACTGATTTATACAAATTTCATAAATTCAAAATAATTTTATAAACCATTTCTAAAAGGAAAATATCTAAAGAATTTGGTTTTAATGAAAATCTGCTGAAAAGAGTCACAGCTGCATTAACCTCTCCTTGGACTATGAAATGCCTCAATAAATCAAAGAATAGTTTATAAAAATATTTTTTTTACATTTTACTGGGGAAAATGGAGGTAGACAAAAGGAAAACATAAGTTTGAGTATAATTCCACACTTGAGAACAACATATTTGCAAGGAAAAAGAGCTTTTATTACTTAAGAATCCTAGTTAATAGAAAAGCCAGTAAAGCATTTGGTCTCAGTCTTTGTTGCTGCTCTGCTTTAGTGTGAGGTCTAAAGGAGAAGGTGAAAGGACTAAGAGCACACTGAACTTCCACACCAAGCCAGTCAAATTTGCACATCAATTGGAGAGAGGAACATACAGCACATAGAGCAATTCCTGATTTTTCAGTCTTATTTCAAACACTAACCTTGTTCTCCATATCTGATATCATGATAAGACTTCATAAAAGTCATATTTCCACAAGTTTCCCTATATCAGTTGTAATTCCGCTGTAAAACAAGTGATTTAACTGTGTAGTATTACACAACTGGGCTTCCTTAAAAAAAAAAAAAAAAAAAAAAAAAAGCAAACAAAACACAAGAGTAAGAGATCTAAAGCCTGGAGTCTACAAGCTGGAAAGAAAAAAGGAGCACTGAAAGCAATATTCCCCACACTAAACTACACTCCTCATATGCAAACACTTCCAGCTCTCAAAGGTCTGTGGTGCTTCTCACCAATAAAAATAACTAAAGCAGAACCAACACAGCCCAGAACTGTGTCTGAAAACACCACTATGCGGAGCTGCTAACCAGGCAGTGATCCAGATTCCCTGAATTGTTCAAACACCTGCTTACTGAAACACACAATTCACACAATTCTTGGAAAGATGAGAAAATTGACTTTTTTTAGCTGGCAAGAGCTACATCTCTTCTTTTATCATGCAACTCAAAACGGGAAATTTGTCATATCAGCATACTAGGAGCCCCCAGACTTTTAACCCCTAAATTAAATTATGACAGCTATTTTTGTCACAAAAGAAATAACTTATAACCACAATGGCAAGTGTTAACTTAGATGCTCTTGTTGGCATAGTCACCCACACATATTGACTATATATTAAAAACTCAACAAAATAAACTTAGACAACCATACAGAATTCAGGAAAAAAAGTCTGTATGGTAATCACAGAGCACAAAGTTTGAAAATAACATTTTCAGAGTATTCCAATTACCTCATGATGGAAATACAGCATCTATAGTTCCCTGCAACCCAATAGGAATGAAAAAAATTAAAAGGACCCTCCCTGCAAATGTGTACTGGTAACCATCCATATAAACAGCATGCTATGAATTTTTAATTGTTTAGTGCCCAAATCCATGTTCTTCTATCCTTCCTTATCAAAACAGTGGAATTCTAAATTAAGAATGACTATGCCCAAAACAGCTCCCTTCAGTTATTTTTGAAAGCCTGCCACTTATTAAAATATCTTAAGTTAGAATATCTTCTAAGTCGTTGCTTTTGGAAATATTTTGAAGAGGACTAGCATTTGCTTTTTCTATATAAGAGCATTATTTGAAAGCATATTTTAAAGTATTCTAACTTTTGCAGAATAAACTGCAGTTTGAGCTGCCAAAAGCATTTAAATTTTATGAAATATGGAAGATCTACCCCACTGTGAAGAGCATACATAGCTAAATGAAAATGTTGAGGAGAACTCTCACTCATCATGCTAATAAA